ATTAGGGGCCCCTGTATGGGGCCCTCATTAGGGGCCCCTGTATGGGGCCCTCATTAGGGGCCCCACTAAGCGGGCCCCTGTAGGGGCCCCTAATTCGGGGCCCCACAGAGGGGGCCCCTATACGGGGCCCTCATTAGGGGCCCCATTAAGGGGCCCCCTATTTAGGGGGCCCCTATTTAGGGGCCCCCCGTTGGAGACCCCTATTTAGGGGGCCCCCGTTGGGGGCCCCTATTTAGGGGGCCCCCTAAAGAGGGATGTTAAGAGGGGGCCCCTGATGGGGGCCCCCAGAGGTTCAGGAAGGAGCGGGGGAGGCATCTCTTTAGATAAGCTGAGAGGCCCTTTGTGTTGAGCAAAAAAAAGAGCAATAAAATATAAATATATACATATATAAGAATTTGTGTATGATAATAATATAAATAAACAATATACATTAAATATATATATATAAATATATAAATATACATATAAATACATATCTGGTGTACTATATAAACATACACCCTACAACACTTCTTCTGCATGCGCAGCAAAACACCCAGCACCCTGCTGCTGCTGCTGCTGCTGTTGCAGCTGCTGCTGTGGATGCTGCTGCTGCTGCTGCACTGGAGCCGTTATGTCCTCTCATTCATTCATAGGACTTAGTTTGCCGCCTGCAACTGCTGCAGCAGCAGCTGCTGCTCCTGTTGCTGCTGTTGCTGCTGCTGCTGCTGCTGCAGCTCCCTCAGTTGTTTCTGCAGCTGCGCTCGTAGCTCCTGCTGCTGCTGGCGCACCTGTTGCTGCTGCTGCAGCAGCTGTTGTCTGAGTTGCTGCTGCTGCTGCTGCTGCTGCTCCGTCGCCACAGGCCCGCGAGCAGACGGCCAGTACATGAAAACAACAGCAGCAAAGCTGCTAATGCCTTGCAGCAGCTGCTGCAGCGGCACTAGCAGCAAATCAAGCAGCTGCAGCTGCAGCAGTCGCAGCAGCAAAAACGCTACCGACAGCAGCCGCGCAGGCACATGAACTTGAGACCAAACCACCTGCAGCAGCAGCAGCAGCAGCAGCAGCAGCAAACCCACACCCACCCTGTACGTACATCTCAGCAGCAGCAGCAGAAGAAGCAGCAGCAACAGCAGCAGCAGCAACAACAGCAGCAGCAGTCAAGGGACACCCCACGACACAGCAACAGCAGCACCTGCCGAGACACTAGCAACGCCACCACCACCCTCCACTAGGCTCGCAGCAGCAGCAGCAGCAGCAGCAGCAGCAGCATACCTTCCAGCTGATAGCGCAGGCCAGAGCCATAACACATGCCTTAACAAGCTGCAGCATCAGCAGCAGCATAACTTGTGCTTTCGGAATGCTGCGTCTCCTGCGCGCTGCTGCTGTTGTTGCTGTTGCTGCTGTTGCCGTTGTTGCTGCTGGTGCTGCTGCTGCTGCTGAAGCTGCGGGAGCAGCAGCAACGCCACCAACGACCTGTACAGGAGGCCTCCCTCTGGGGCCGCTGTGGGGCGGCTGTGCTGCTGCATTTGCTGTTCCACTCCCTGCTGCTGTTGCTGCTGCTGCTGTTGCTGCTGCTGACGTTCTAGCCACTGCAGCAGCAGCAGCAGCAGCCTCGCCAGCGGAGGAGTGCCTCCTACGTGGGAGCCCTTCTGAATCCCCCCATATCATCCTCTGAGGTGTATGCGCAGCAGCAGCAGCAGCAGCAGCAGCAAACGAAGCTGCAAGAAAAACCTAAAGATAAAGGATCTCAAGGCAACGCCCCCCTGGTTAAGTGCTGCAGCCTATTGCCTCTGCTGCTCCTCCCACAGCTGCTGCTGCTGCTGCTGCTGCTGTTGCCGCTGCTGCTGCTGCTAAGAGGGCTGTGGGGAAGCAGCAGCAGCAGCAGCCCTGGCCATCAGGCTGGTGCCTGAGATGTCTATACAGCTGAGGCTGCTGCAAGAGCGAGAAAGAACCAAAGGAGGTCCCTATACACCTCAATGCTGCGAGAGGCAGCAGCGGCACCGCCGCATGGAGACAAACATTTGCTGCTGCAGCAGCAAAACAAAGAGAAGAAGGCTTGTTTAGTATGTTGTTATATTAAACCCATCGCCAACTCATAAAAAAACACTCTAGCCCTGCTATTCCTCTGCAGCGTGCTGCTGCTGCTGCCGATCCTGCTGCTGCTGCTGTTGCTGCTGCTCGGGCTGCTGCTGCTGCTCCCGCCTGCTGCTACTGTTGCTGCTGCTGCTGCGTGCGGCAGCTCCTCCCGCACGCTGCTGCTGCTGCTGCTGCTGCAGTAGCAATGCAAGATAAACAAATTATTTTTGCTGCTGCAAGTGCCTATGAAACAAATAAAAAAATTAACTTAAAAATATAATTAAAATGCAGCGGCAAGGAGAGAGAGAGTGCAGACAAAAGGAGCGCCGGCCGCTCGCGCTCCCGCCCCATAAGCTGCTGCTGCTGCTGCTGCTGCTGCTGCTGCTCTCGAATTCACTGCCACTGCTACTGCTACGACTGCTGCTGCGACTGCTGCTGTTGCTGCTGCTGTTGCTGCTGCTGATGGGGCCCCGTGGTTTTTAATAATATTTTATGAGGATAAACATGTAGAAGAATTAACAACTTAGACAGCTGCAGCCAGCCAACAATAGCTGCTGCTGCTGCTGCTGCTGCTGCTGCTGTGCTGCTGCTGCTGCTGCTGCTGCTCCTGCTGCTGCTTGCACTGCAGCAGCAGCAGCAGTAGCTGCTGCTACCGCTGCAGCGGAAGCGAAACAAGCCTAATAAAGAAAATAAAAGATATATTACAATAGATAGTGCAGCAAGACCTGTGCATGCAGGCGACGGCCCAGCGGGGCAACCAAAGGACTAGGGTTTAGGGATTAGGGTTTAGGGTTTAGGGTTTGAAGGGTTTGGGGTTTAGGGCTGGAAGTCTGCTGCGTCAGCGTCGCTGCCTAGAGCATAGGGTTTAGTGTGTAGAAGCGCAGCAGCAGCAGCAGCTGCTGCTGCTGCTGCAGCTGCAGCAGACAGGCAGCAGCAAAGCGAACGGAGACAAATAAAGAAAGGGGAGCAGCGGAAGCTCTAAACCCTAAACCCTAGCGGACCCGCAGGCAGAAGCAGCGCAGAGACACAGCAGCAACAGACAGACAGAAGAGGCTAGCCGGAGGCACAGACCCTAAACCCTAAGCCCTAGAAAGCAACAGAAGT